TTTTTGGTGCCAGAAAAATCTGCAAATTTGTTCTTCAAGTGGGTAATATTTCTTCACTTGATATTTGGGTTTCTTGCGGTTTGTTCTTGGAGATTTGGTTCACTTATTTTGTGAGGTATTTTCCTCTTGTGATTTACACCTTGGTGTGTTTGTAAGGCTTATGCCTTTTTGACCACTTTGTAATCTGATTTGGTGATAGTGGAAGAAACTGAACTACCGGTCGTCGTGGATGTACCTCAAGTTATTTGAGGGAACCACGTAAATCTTGTGTGCTTATTTATTTTCTGTTATTTTATTTATATTGCTTCCATTGATTTACACTTGTGGGAAAGCCTATTTTCCCAACACTTCATAACGCATCCAAATTGACGAGGGGTTGGGACCGGATGGGATTAGATATAAAGTTGAATCATATCTTACGTTCCTAACCGAACCCATTATCCAACAACAACCTGATACATCTGTCACATAAGGGTAATGCTAGTAAAAAGTGTAAAAAATTAATATAATTTGTTGATATAATAATATGTCAAGTAATAGAATTCTAATGAATAAGTCGAGTAGTTATAGTCGCAAAATACTATTAAACAATATGGAGAATTATATTCAAACACCAGAAGTTTATCACTTAATCACCTAAATTCCTTGACATTTGAAATATTACACACAGACCTCCTTGAAGTTTGTATGCATGTAACACTTAAACCGCCGCTGTAAATATATTCGTTAACAAATTACATCCAGACCCCCTAAAATTTGTAAACATATATAACTTAAACCACTTAAATTTAAAATATTATACTTAGATCAAAAATATTTCAATCAAAGATAAAATATCAAATATTTTAAATTTTACAATTAAAATTCATGTTCTATTGTATCTTTTATTGAAATAAAATCAAAAATAAAAATTCAATTTTTTCTTAAAAAATAATAATTATTGTCTATTAGAATTTAATTTGGTCGTTTAAATGACCAAATTAAATTATCAAACTATCCCAATTAAAGATAAAATATATTATATCCATTACAATTTGACATCTTGTTTAATTTTTTAATTTTATTCTAATAGAGAGTATAATTATATACTAACTACGATTTTTTTTAAAAAAATATTAGATTTTTATTTTTGATTTTATTTCAATAAATGACATAATAGAATATGAATTTTGAATATAAAATTTACGTTCTATTATGAATAACTTAGACCCCTTATTTGATTTTTTTTTGTTTTATACGAATAGATAATATAATTGTATAATAATTATGATTTTTTTTAAAAAAATTAAAATTTTAATTTTAATTTTATTTCAATAAATGATATAATCGAACATGAATTTTGGTTGTAAAATTTAAAATATTTGATATTCTATCTTTGATTGGAGTATTTTTTGTCTAAATATAATATTTTAAACTTAAAGAATTTAAATATTATATACCTACAAGTTTTAGGTGGTCTAAGTATAATTTATTAACGGATATATTTATAACATGAGTCTAAGTGTTACGCGTAAACAAATCTCAGAGTCTTCGTATAATATTTTAAATGTCAGAGACTATGAATAATTAAGTGACAAACTTCAAAAAATTTGAAGATAATTCTCTCTGAACATTATCACTGTCACATCATTATATAACTAAATTGGGTCAATTTAAGAATGCATTTACTAACAAAAAGTTCAGCGCAGTTTCAACACACACTAAACATTTGCCTACGCGTTTTTGGTAGTTTTTTACTGTATTGTATTTTGTATTCTTCTGTATCTTTCTGATTCTAAAATAAAGTTGAATCTTTAGTTATAAGAAAGAATTTGAGTCTAATAGTTATTATTTACACATAAATGAGCAGAATTGTTTAACTATTTACACATTAATGAACTTAAAAAAATGTTCAAAATTGACTTGATTAGCGCCAATAAGACTACAGCTAACACAAAATTTAATAATAAAAAAAAAAAAAAGGAACAAAAAGTTATTTGCTTGACCTGGACTGCGGGCAATGCGACTTTCTTAATTGTTGGGTGTCTTATAATCCCCACATCCTGGAATCCATCGTTGATCCTTGCACACATACCACACACTCTGACAAGAATGCAGAGAGAGAGAGAGAGAGAAATGGGCACTGTGGTTGTTCCAAGCTCGGCCGGAATCTTCCCGGAAAATCATGAAAATGGTGCCATCGGCCGGCCTCCCAAAGAGCTCGACGCCGGAGCTCTTTTTGTCTTGAAATCACGAGGTAAGGGAGTAAGACATCGGGTATTGTTGTAATAGGAATTTTCCTCTTTCTTAAAGGTCAGGAATTAGGATCATCTGCAGTACACTAAAGGTGTTGTTCCTCAAAAAAAAAGTTATTTTACACACAAAATAACTTTGTTTTGTGTGCAATACAATACGGTGTGATTTTGAGGAAAAGTACTTCTAGAGGAGAACTTTACCCCGTTTGGCCCTTCATTAATGGATTCCATTCTTGTATGTGAGAATTACGATTGCAGGTGAGGCTCTGAGGGGTTTCTTTTTAGGCCACAGATTTTCTGTTGTAGAAGATCATGTGCTACTTCCAAACCTACATCGTTTTGGAAACGGTTTTCTCTGCCGAACAGCAGAGAGGATCTCCGCTCTTCTTTTTATGATGTCTCTCTTCTTTTTATGCTTAGATATTGATGTTAAGGTTGTAAAAGAGATTGCTGGTGTTGATGGTAGGGTCATGGCTGCACTGTGGGTATCATCTTACGACGGCAATAGTGGCGCCGGCTCTTCTAAGCCTACCCTTTGCTTTCACCTTGTTGGGTTGGGTGGGAGGAGTCATCTGCCTCACCGCGGCGGGGCTGGTGACGTTCTACTCGTATAACCTTTTATCTCTAGTGTTGGAGCACCACGCACAGCTTGGCAAGCGTCAACTTCGTTTTCGTGACATGGCCCATGATATTTTAGGTATGACTCTTTGTCTATAACTACATATGTATTTATATATATTTTATATTTTTAAGTTGACGTAACATTATTCATACATACATATTTATAGTGTGATAATATGAAGTGTTCCACAAATATTCAATCATTCCCAAAAAAAATAAAAAAAATACTTCATATACATATGTATATAATATGAAGTGTTACATATACATACATATGTGTGTGTATGTGTGTGTGGTTAAGTGTTCGATGTCTTTTGAATGTTACTTGATTGATGAAGTTGTAGACTTTCTAAAAGGTAGTGTCACGGCTGGTATAATATTCTGTCAATATTTCAAAATCAGTGATCACGAAAATCATGGTATTAATCACAAATAACAATATTGATTCATTTTGCATTAGAATTCTTGTTAGAAATTATACTTATTTTATAATACAAATTGGTTCTGTTGGAATCAGCAATTACAATTGTCTAACACCGTCGTCGCTGTCCTTTATATGCCATCTGGTCTTCATTTGACCTTCTCAGCTTTACAGAAAAAAAGTCTCATGTTGAGTTGAATATCTGGTGCAGTGCAACAGCCTTCCTAGTAATCAAATCACCAAAACACCAATGCTTTACGCATACATAAAACAATAGAATAAGAAACCCTAATTTTGAAATACTAAAACTATCATGTCATTGATAAGATCCAGCATCCGTTACGAATCTAATGATTGTGATGAATTATGCCAATAAATTAAATTTAAATAATATTATTAATTTCTAATAAGAAAACAATCATAGTTTCTGCCTAATGTATCTTCCAAATTTCTTGAATCGAAACACTATTTATATAGGGGAAAGGAACACTTATCTAATAAATTTGAAGCTAGTCTTGTAAGACCTAACAATGTATTTGTTATGTCATGAGACAACTTAGTCCAAGACAGAAGATTAAAATTTCATATTTGACCATACATGACAATAATATCTCTTGTGAAATATATTTAAAGAGATTATAATGATGTTTGAAAGAGATAACTATTATCCGTATTCTAAAGAAATTGGTTCCTTGAATTAAACCACGGTAATTTTTCGTTTGGGATAATTATTGTAAGAGGCAAAAAAATAACGATACCTCATACAATAATGATGAATCGATGTCTTTGATAATAAGTGAATTCAGAACTCAGGAATCCCAATCTCCTTCCTGCAAAACGAGCAAACTGCCCAAAATCGAAGTGCTTTGATTGAAGACACTCCGATACTTAAGTCAATAACAGGATTGAAACGAACGGAAGAAGACAATGAGAGTTCTCTGTACCTTTTACCTTCGTTTCTTCTTCTTTTTATAGTTGGTTATCCCATTAGGGTTTTCGCGATTTTTGATTCAAGGTGGCACACCTTTCTCCAATTCAGCGATGCAGTTTGAGAAGTTGTTGATATTTCTCCAACAAATCCTCCTGATATCCGCAATCTCGTTCATTCAAAATGCCTAAGTTAAAGGCTTCTCTTTATCTTTCTATCTTCTGTTTCAAGCAGCTCAGTCATAATGAAAACCGAGCACTTGTTGAACACATTGATCAACTCGGTTTGGTAAAAGCCGAGCTCATCCATTGTTTTGCCGAACAGTATTGGTTAGTTTGACTAGGACCATTTAACCGAATAGTTGATATCTCCAACATGTGCCTTGTTTTTTCAACCTCACGCGAGCTCATTAAATGTCATAACATGTGTAATAATGGGGGTCAACCCCTTCATTTGCCCCCAGAAAACGTCTAACAGACACCTTTCATCTTTCAGTCATTTTTTGTCTTTTCATCGTCATTACGTGTTTCTATGCCATCCCCCTAGTTTTGGCGGCATGCTTTAGCATTTAAATATTGCCCTTAAGAATTCTTCTCTTTTATAAATAGTTTCTCTTCGTACCTCCATCTATCTTGCCTTCTTGCCTCCAAAGCCATCTCTTTTCCTATATCTTTGTTATTTCTACACTTCGTCTTCTTCAATGGCCCCTCTCACACCCTCTAAAATTCTTGCTTTTTAAATTAAATACAACATTCCAAACGACGTCGAGGTGAAGATTACTGGCAAAGACGAACCTCTGATTGGGTCGAGGGAGAGGATTCCAATATACACTTGAGCGATCACCGAAGGCAGTGTACGCTTCCTTCTTGACCCATTACTCCTCTGGGTTCTGTCAGCCATGAAGTTTTGCCCAATCCAGTGCTGCCCCAACTTCTTCAGAATAGTGATGGGTGTGGCCGCTTTAAACAAACTTCTGAACTTGAGCTTGGGATTATAGGAAATTCTGTACTGGTACATAATCAAGGTTGTGGGAGACAACTTCTATTTGGTTGTGAGGAAGAAGGATCATTACCTGGTTACCCATCTTCAAGATTTGAACAAAGGTCATGAAAATGACATTGTGTTTGTTTCTGGGAATTGGGAGTACTATGCTGAAGCCACTCCTTCTTATCGCTGTCCATATGAAGAAGGCATTCCACGTGTCTAAACCTTTTTCTCTTCAATTTTTTTTTTTTATGTTATGATTCAAGATCTCTAAGTGCAAGAAAACTGTCAAGGGTCAGATTCTTGAATCCTCTGTGAAGATAGACGAGCTCAAGAGAGTTTGGGATTTTAATGAGTCTCTATTCTGCCGAGTCGCACACATACTGCTCAAATATACTCCAACTTACACGTCATTCATTACTGTGCCAAACCGACCCAACGTCACACTGGCCGCAGATCGTGAGGCAATCCAGACTGCTCGGGAACAAACTTTTTCTCTTGCAGCTTCTGGGCGCAAGACGGTAAAAAATTTTCTCAATTTTTTATCAACTGTCGAACTGACCCCTTCTACCAAACCAACTCCAACTACATTAGTGATGCCGATTTCTGTTCTTGAGGAACCCGCTTCTGAGGTTCTAGCTGAAACTTTTTTACCTAATAATGTTGATCTGCCGACCAGTGGGCAAGCAGATTTAGTTCAAACCACTGAGAATTCAGTTTCGGTTGAGTTGGACCCTCCAGATTCCGTCCGTTCCCTTTCTCCACAAGATGATTCCATTTTTGAGCTCGCCGAAGACCCAGCTCCAAAGATGCGAAAGGTTGCCGAGACTGAAGCGAGTCCCTCCCCCAAACTAGCAAATCCTCATTTCAGACCAATTCTTAGGGCTAAAAGGAGGGAGATTACTGCAAAGGACTCAACAATAGAGGATTTCAACGTTGCGATTGGGATTGCTTAGGGAGTGATCTTGCCTCGGGACCTAGCTATGAACGAGGCTCTGACTGATGACGAAGTGTCTTGTCAAGCTATCCAATATATGGTTCTGGTAATTTTATTTTCACTCTGTTCTTTCCCTTATTTTTTCTGAAAAAAAATTTCTAAGTCTTATTCCCATTCTTTAAGGGTCTGTAAAAATTCCATGAGGTCGGGGCTAGGATAGCTAGAAAGGACAAGGTTATGAAAGATGTTATCCATGCCCGAGCCTCACCCTTGGCCAAGAAGCAATCGATGGATGAAGAATACTCCAAGCTCTATGAGGAAGTTTCAACTATCCAAGCTCAAAATCATAGTCTAACAGAGGAGAATAAGAAGCTTTCTTCAGAAGTCGAAAAATTAAAGGAATCTGAACATGAGGCCATTGTAGAACTTTCTCAATCACAACTGGACTACTCTAGCCTCCTGGAAGAATTCGATCAATTCAAAGCTGATGCAAAGGTGAGAGAGAATGCCGCATATGAAGAGGGGATCGAGAAGGCAGAAAGGGATGACACGCTCCTCTAGTTGCTGCAGGGGTCCCTTCCTCTTCTAAACTTTTCTCCAAGCATTCCCTACCAAGTTCTTCAAAGCCTCCAGCCCCCTAAAACACTTAAGAGATTTTCCTTTTTTGTTACTTCAGATGTAAATGTTCAATGATCTGTGTAAATTTTTTGAAGTATGAATGCAAAACCCTTTTTGGCTTTTCTGTTATTTCACTGCATGCTTTGAAAAAATATGACTTTCCAAGTCTTTTTGTTTGTCCCTTTTTCTTGGGTTCAGTCCCTTAATAGGGACTAAGTATTCTTAGAATAATTTAGTTAGCTCCGGAAGTTAGGGCCCTTGCTTGGCCCTTTCTAAAAAGCTCGGACCCTCAATAGGGACTTGTACACTTAGAAAAAATTTTGATAACCCATGAATTATGGCCCTGCTTGGCCTTTCCTCAATGAGTTCGGCCCTTAATAGGGACCTTTATACTTAGTAAAAATTTTGACAGCCCTTGAAGTTATGGCCCTTGCTCGGCCCTTCTTCGAAGAGCTTGGTCCCTCAATAGGGTCCTATTACACTTGGAAAAAATTCTTAAAATTCTTGAAGCTATGGCTTTGATCAGCCCTTCTTCAAAGAGCTCGGTCCCTCAATAGGGGCCTTTTACACTTAGAAGAATTTTGATAACTTGAAATTATGGCTCTGTTGGGCCCTTCTTCAAAGAGCTCAGTTACTATAGAGTTACACTCAGTCCCCTTGGGTATCTAAGAGTTTTTTCTACCCCGCACCGACCCGCCAATCTAATTGGATTCCAATTCATCCCTAATCAGCTTACATCGTCATGCCTAACCGAGAACCTGGATTAGAACGGGTGGCGGCACCTAATTTAAGTGTATGACTTCTATCAAAATTGTTTTGCCTCTCTATCTTAATAGTAGTACATGCATAGCCAGAAAAGAGAGATGGAGTTGAATCTTCAGAAATCTTTATTAATAACCTCAACTTATGTCTGTACAATTGCTAATGGCTTGTTGTCTCTTAAGGGGTACCCCTAAGTTTCTGAAGGTACTTTGAAGTTCTATTTAAAAAGGTACCCCTTTTTTTAAAAAATAGAACCTTCTAAGGTTGGTTGCGTTCCAGGGACGTGGCATTGCCCTATGGTCCATAGTTTCGAGCTCGTAATACCCACTGCCCCCTACTTGGG